TTAAATTATTTAAAAAAAGTATGGGGTCATGTCTAGTTTTATTAAAAAAAGCATCTTGAAGTGGTTACTCTCATTTCCAAACAAAAGCTTCATTCTCTAGACATGTGTTTATCCACTCAAAAAATGTATGAACTTCAAATGGTAGTTACCTCCACTCTCTAAAAGGTTAGTGGTAGTTACCTCCACTAAAAAGGAAAAAAAAATCATCTTCTCACTTAGGCAAGTGGCATCTTATTTTCTCAACAAAGAACATCTCAAAAGTGGACTCTAGCTATATTTCTTAAAAAAATATTAATTATTCTTTCCTAAATTATCTATAATTCCTATTTATCCTCTCCTTTCACTAGAGCCCCACTCATTTACATCCTTGTGTATAGGAATTTCTAAATTATCTCTAACTCCTCTTTATTCTCTCCACTTTCCCATAAAAACAGGGCCCTACTTAGGTGGTGTTCGATATTGTTTTATATCGTGGGTGGGCCCATTTTAGTCCTATCCACAATAATAAGAGAAGTTTGGTTTACTAGGGACAGTCCTTGTTCCCAATACCTTGTGGATAGGGACCTTCCCGATGCAAAATATCGACAATGCATTTTATACATGGATGGTCCCCATCTGTTGATGAACAAAAATGGGCATGTGATATTATACATTGCATGCCCTAGTATTTCTTATTTTTTTACCATTATAGAAAAGAAACTATGTTTCTTCTTTGCCATTTGTTGCTAACTATTGACTAGAGACCCACCACCGACCACCACTTGCCGGTTTTGTCCATTGAAACCAGTACGTAATGCTCTCATCTTCTTTATATTTTGATTTCTCTCTCCCTCTCTCCCTCTCATTTGGGTTTCCCTCAACTGAGTTTTTTTCCTCTTGCGGAACTAGCATCTTTTAACTTCTTCCACCACCCATCTCCTCCTCTATTGACACCACCACTATATTCCTCTCTCACATTATTTGGTTAGTATTTTGTATATGTATTTTTTTGGGATTTTTGGGTGTTTTAGTTACTCTCTTTAAACGGTGTTATCTTAAAGTAAGTGCCAATTTTTCATTTTTTTCTCAAAATACTAGATAGATGCATACTATGTCTTGAGTCTATATGTAAATTTTAAATAGTCATTGCATTATCCCATACAAATTTGGGTTTAGAATAAGGGAAGTCACTGACAAAATTGAACCAAAGATTCTTAGCAAATAAACCCAAAGATTCTTAGAAATAAACAAAATGGAGTTGCAATGCAAACAAATGCAGCCTTAGTGTGTGTGTGTGTGTGTTTTATTTTTAATGGTTAAATTGTCCAAAGGATCAACAATTGTGGTGGACAAACCAAGGTTTTAAAAGGCTAAATGCAGAGGCGAGGCAAGTAGGTTTTATAGGGGCAAGGCGTATGCCTTGAGCAAAAATGAAAGAATATAATCCATAAACAATAAAAATATTAAAAACATAAAATTAAGATATTATATGGCTTGTTTGATACATTAGAAATAGCTTAATAGTTCAAAGTATCAATACACCCCAATACACTGAAAGGGGTGTATTAAGTATCAACACTTTGAACCATGCACATCTTTTTTTTTTATTTTTTTTCAAAATTCCACAAAAGGTTAATTTTATGTTATTTAATTATTAAAAAAATTAAAAATACCTTAAAAAGGGGTATCGATACCGCAAAGATACAATACAATACACCCAATACAGGGCATATCACATTTTGAACCTTGAATGGGTTAAAATCTTAACCAAAGTAATTTTCCCCTAAAGTCTAAACACTCAGAGAATGAAACCATATAAGTCAAACTTTTCAGTTTAGGAATATGAACCAGTAGTGTTTTAAGAGCAAGGCATTCCTATTTCATTTCTTGCAATTGTATGTATTAATGAAGAGTGACCACCTATGTGATGTATATACTTCAGAAGAAATAAATTGTCAACAATGAGGTAAATGGGAAGTGGGTAAGAATATGAACAATAAAGCAAGTTATTTTCTTATGCATTTATATGTTATTCATATATTTATTTATTAGTTCAATATGCCAATATGTACAAAGCAAGACATTCTTTTTCTGTGTTAAATTTCTATTTTACCCCTATATAAACCTTCATATTCAACATTAACATGCCAGATAATTGAGGCCCAATCATTGGACATTTTGAGGCCAAAAGCCCAAAGGTGTAAGCCTCAAACAACTCAAGGCCTAAGCCTTTATGGTGGAATTTGAGCAGGCCTCTTTTCCTAAGGCTACGTTTGGAAACTATGCAAATCCTGGTTCAGGGTAAATTTGCACCCTGGTTCACTTTTACTTGTGTTTGGCAATATTACATTTATGCATTGACAAATGACCAAAAACACATTTTCCAATGCATATTTACATTGATAATAAGATGTAAAAGTACATCAATAAAAAAGAAGTAAATTTGCATTCAAGTAGGCTTTTGATAAAAAAAAAGGCATATGCTTTATTGGAATTTGTATTTGCATCCATTGCAGCTAAAAGCTTGTTTGGTAAGAAGGTAAATTTTTCAGTGCAAAACTAATTCAACTTTACAATTTATATGAACCGCTTTACACACTACATATTTGTATTCACACTTATTTGCATCGTTTCCAAATGCAGCCCAACTTGCCTCAACAGCCTTGTTAAACAAACATGCAACCCAAGATGATAACCATTTAGCCTATTGGTCAATCTGATGCGCTGCCAGCTGTCACAATAAGGTACATAGATATGTCATATATGTTTTTAATAAGCACCAGTTTAGGCTGTATTTGTTTTGATAGAAAATTAGGGAGAGCAGAAGGTTGGGGGGAATTTCTTAAGGACTTTCACCAAATTTGTTAAGGTACAGCTCATTAGTGTAAAATGAGGTAAACTAGAATCATGAAAAAAAATTAAAAGACAAGGTTTCCTTTATGCCTCTTAACTCTTCTTAGTTTAGCAGTCACCAATTCAACCAAATCCTTCTTTTCCCGGTTTCCCTTCACTAAACAAGAGCATTTCTTCTCCATGGAGTGCAACTTCAGTGGGCTTGGTTTGGGGCTTGGGCTTGGTTTTGCAACCCTTGAGTTGGGTGGTTTGGCCTGACCTTTTCCCAACCCGAGCCCAGCTATATATTATATGCATACATACACACATATATTTATGTAAAATTTTAGTGTAGGCTGATTATCTAAGCCCAGCCTGGGCCAGAGCGATGCATCATATTTCAGTGTGGTTGGGCCTGGATTGACCTCGGGCTCAGGCCTGGATTGAGTGGATTGAGCTTAAACCCACCCCGACTTGTCTGAATTGCGCCCCTAAAAGCCCGAGAATAGAACTCTGAATTATACTCTCTTGATCGATCACTGGATTAACTATGATCAGCTCTTGTAGATAGATACTCCGAAGTATCAGTTGCAGTAATCCTAGTCTCCTACAAAAGGGTGAGTCGACATCAACTTTTGATAAAACTATTAACTACAAAAGGACCTCGATCTAATCAAATCTCTCTTAAAACCGGTTTACAACTTGATGTATTTCTAGTTTTTGAAATGGAACTTTCCAATTCCTCATGAAAAATATCTGCAGAGGGCACCTTTGCTGTTTTCTTGAATGAACAATTGGTTTTACCATGAACTACACGAAGACCCATTTGTATAAGACTATGGATTGTAACTTCGTAAGACTTGATGCTTCGCAAGACTATGGATTGTAACAATTCCAACCCCATAGGCTTTGGAATTGTTTTCAATAGACAAAGCTTTTATTCTACATTCTTGGCTGAAGCAACATAAATTTCCAAAACCCAAGTTGAAAACAAAAGACATGGCTAGTAAATCAACTTTCTTCAAAGCGGCTCAATCAACACAACTCAGATCAAAGTTAAAGCCCTCCCAAATGGGCTTAAAGCCTAGTCGATTGAAATGCATGGTTAAAGTCTTCTTACAATCAGAATATGCATAATCTATTTGACAGGAGTTACAGGATTATGGGCTTCACCTAATCTTTCTTGGAAGCTTTATTACCCACATACTTTAATGTTAATTTCCATTTTTAATGCTCATCCAAGCAGCTTTAGCAAGAGTTCTTTTTTTTTTCTATTTCTTTATATCTTATGCTTTTATGAATTTATATATACAATCCAATAAATATTCCTACTTGATCAAAATAAAGAGTAGAAAGAAGAGATCTTTTTCCCTTCTCTAATTATCATCATCATCTAAACCTTGTCCCAACTATATGGGATCAGCTACAGGATTCTTGTTTTACCATTCCATTCTATTCAGTGTCACCATATCCATACGAGTATTTTAAGTCATTTCTTACTACAACCTTGTCCTTTTCCTCAAATGAAAATCATAAAAGATAATGAAAGAACTTGAACATAAACACATTTTGTCCAAGTCTTCTGAAAGCATAGATTATCATGCATGTTGAAAGCGTTGAGAGATTTCAAGTAATAATTGGTACCTTAGAAATTCAATTACCTAATGACTTAATTATCTTATCTACATTCTATCACTCCTATAATGATTGATGGATCAAGCTGGGCCAGAATTCAATTATACACATATAACAGAAACTTTCTCATTACTTTAATAATAAAGCTGTACATGTTAACCTTTCAGGTTTGAAATTACACAATAAGTAGGATTATCCTTTCATAGATTCAAGGTTGTGATTTCACTAACAACCCCATAAGATTGCTGCCCAGATAACTTTTGATAATAGCTGCTTGATTGGAAACTTTCTCTTCTCAGTATTGATCAGTTGCCTAAAATTGAGGATGCCTCATAATCATTTTTTCACAGCATCCCTCACTTAAGATGGTGCCCCTTTGTCACTATGTAATGCCAGCTACTAAATACAACTAATCTGCACATGTACATCAGCCATAACTTTTTAACACTAGAAATAAATAAATGGTGGAAAAGTAAGATTGCATACAAACTTTACCAGTAATAACTTGTTTGAAGAAAAGAAGTTGTGATGCAGAAGATGCAAAATCATGTTGCTTATGAGTTTCTGAACATATTGGGGTCACAAAGAGTTAAACCAGTGGATTTGCAAACAGGACAAAGATTTTTGCATCTTAGCCACTGTTTGATACATGTAGCATGGAAGGCATGACCACAGTCCAACTTTCCCATCTCATCATCCTCCAAGTACTCCTCCTATTATTAAAACAAATTAAAGACTGTTACAGGTTGTGGTTTGTTACACAAAGATCTGCAACAGAGCTTACTACTTCCATAAATATTAACTCAAATTGGCATGGTTACCTGGCAAATACTGCAAGCATCCTTTGTAGAATTCTCCTCTAATAATAAAAAATATGTACTTTGTTTAAGAAACCTGGTAATTGCTTCTTCAGATAGTCCTGTATTGACATTCCCTATACGATCCTCCAAAGCTAATAATTCCTATGGAAGATTGGAAGATAAATGATACAAAAAAAAAAAGAAAAGAAAAGAATGGAGCAGATCACACAGTGACAAAAAGAAAAAAGGTTTATAGTCTTACCTCATAGGACATGTTATCCACATCTACCCTCATGTCTCCATAACGGTCATAGAAATTTGCTATGTCCAATAGAGGTGGCTGGCTAAGAATTAAATTGTCCTGTTCATGTTATCACTAAGTAATTATCACACGATTGGAAAGGTAAGTTTCTGGATGTGATTACTTTTAAAACCTTAGAATGAGTTTGTTTTTTCTTTTTTAGTAGAAAGAATGAGCTTCAATTATAGAAAAATAAACCTCCAGAGAATATAAAAATACAGAATATTAGTAAGCAGGAAATGAATATTCATTCTGTTACTTGAATATATTGACACTAATAAACCAAATGCATCTTTAATCACTTAAGCAGTAAGAATTAACCAAGAGTCAATTGATTTTATGTTCAACCTGATGGTATGAGAATATTATTTGTACGCAAATAATGCAAAAGCTCATTGTAGAAAAATACATAATCCTGTCTTTTTTCCCATCTTAAAGATATTTCCAAGACTATGGATGGACAATAATCTTCAGGAGAGAAAAGTTAATTTCAAATGTTAATTTAATTGTATTATTATTTTAATTATTAATAATATCATATAAACTATCTTTAACTTACTCATTTGAAATGTAAAACCAACAATTTACCTGCTTTTGCAGGTTAAATATATATCTGTTAATTATTTTTATAAGGGAGGTGTCGTCCATGTCTTAGCTAGATTAATATCATGATGTCACTTGTGTAAAACCATAACCATAAGTAATGATAAGCATGAATAATGACTATGGGCCGAAAAACTCAGCCAAGAAAGGTGGTTAATCACTGACTACAAGCAACAGATTAAGAAAGGTGAAAAAAAATCCAAATCAGAGCATATGAACCTTTACAACAAACCCATCTCACTGTTGAATCCAACCTAAAAGATCTTGCAAATAAACAAGAAAAGGAATAAATAGAATTCCTTATCCAAGAGGAAATCTCATGTCCAATGTCATTGTGATTGCTAGCATTCAATCACATAAAAGGTAGTTTGTGCAAGAGGCCCATAAATGATGTAGTTATGTTGTATCATCCTGCACAAGAAGCAATAGCAACCGAAGAAGTTGTTGTTCATTGGCCATGTAATGAGCTAGTCAATCTGTCATTCAAAGAACAATCCAACCAGGTTGGTCAGGGCTGGTGGCACCCAATAGTCACACATGGCTAGTGGCAACCTGTCTACAACATGAAAGGCTAGCTATTAAATTCTCATGACATGCAAAATTAGAAGGTAACAATATCAATAGCAGCAAATGAATCTTGGCAACGATGAGGTTCAAAACAATTCAATTGGATCCATTTTGGCTGAAGACCTTTTGAGTAAGATATTGGGTGGATGGGTGTAGGCTCGGTGGTACAAATTGGTGGCATGCATAAGTAAAATACCATGCTCATTGGTGGCTGCAAATTGTGTGTGAGCACCTTGATCAAATGCCAGTGGTTCTAAATGACTCGTTGATGGCTTGTCAATTGTCTTGTAAGTTCCATGTATTTTAGAAAGACTAAGAAATTTCCAAACATCAGCCAAGTTTATGTCTATAACCTTCAAAGTTGATAGCATGTCCAAGTGCAAAAAATCAAAGACTTAATGATAGGTTGTGCACTTCTTTGGACAGAGACTAAGATATGGCGTAATTTGTAAAAGTGGATTATTGTAAACTGAACTTCTAATAAGGTTTGAAAAAGCTACCTTCACCTTCATCTGAAAGTAGTAAAATTACTCTTGTAGTCAATCTTTACCAATATCTTCTTTTATTATTTTTTTTGAAAATAAAGCTATCAACATTTCTGTTTTGCAATAGGAGCAATGATTAAAAAAGGATATTTAGCCAGTAAAGAACTTTGCATCACATAAGAGATAAAACCAAACCTCAGATGATAGTCGAAACTGCCCCCCACCACCACCTGTTAACATCCTAAACAATATTGAACCTTCTAACAAGCCACCGGCCAACCTATGTAGGAAGGCCATTGACTGCAAATATTGCTGGCTCAAAATATCAAACTCATTTTGTATCCCAATTTCATCAGAAGTAGATGCAACTTCACCAAGTTGAAGAGCTGGAGCATTTTCACTTGAGGGAGTAGTAAGTCCATTGACAGGTAGGAAGGAGCTCTGGACAATGTCAGATAGTGAACGAGGGATTCGAGAAAGAGTAAGATGATGGTAAAGAATGCAGCTAAGAGATGGTGGTAATTGAGTTTCTAAGTTTGACGGATCATGAGAACCGGATACAATGCTTCTAATATTATCAATTATATTTGATAAAGCGAGTTGTATTACTTCTGGGGTACGACCAGTCAACCTCCTTGGAAAGGCCTCTGATAATGGAGGCAGCACCCTTCTGGAAATGACTACAGCATTTGATGAAGCAGTGGTCATTGAATTATTTGTTGGGCTTGCTCTGACTGACAACATATCTGGTTCAAAATATAATGTATGGGTTGAATATAAGTCTCCTTGACGCAAACTTGTGTTGTGTATGTTTGACATCTGATCAACCGCTAATGATCTTCCAGGTGAGGATGAACATGTCTGCACAACATAAATTTAAAGTTACCTAGAGGGATTAAATGAGGTATCAAGCAAGTTAACTTTATTTATTATAAAGTGGCTTGGCGCTAGATTTAAATCCACATGATTAAAAGAAAGACATAGCTAGCACTAGATTTAAATTTACCTAATCTGTATACCTCTTGGAATTATGTAGAATAAACTCTCTGAAAATAATGTATAACAAACTTACATGATCAGATTCATGCATGCTGTCAGCCCTTCTCGATCCTACATGAAGCAATGAAAGCTCATTATCCACTCGGATTCCATCATCCCTTCGTTGGTCAGAAATGCTCACAATGTTATTCTGTTCACCTAATTCACAACTAATGCTATGAGAACAGCTTGGACTGTTGTTATTTTCTTCATTTCTTCCATTGCTGCATGTAAAACAATAAAACATTTTATTTGTTTCAGTCTGATATCTCATCCAATTCAGAAAGTATCGTAGCTATGAGAGGGGTATATAACAAGGAACTCAACAAAATTTGAGCCTCTACATTCTTTTCCAAGTAATGCCTTGAATCTTCTCATTCTTACAAATTCCTTACTGTTCTAGATAAGTTTCTATCAATAAAACCCATTGAACTCCTAATAGAATTGAACTAAATTTCCTGTGAAACATAAATTTTGTAAAACATAACTGGGGATAAGACATCAGGTCCAGAAGGCTTTCCTACAGAATTCTATAAAAATTGTGTTGGCCATTTCTGAAGTAGGACGTGATGAATATGATGCTAGAATTTCATTAATCCTTCCATTCCATGGGCAGCAAACTTTAAGCAAGGGATGCGGAAGATCTAAAGGATTATCGCCCCATTAGCCTAATTAGGAATATTTACAAGATAATCTCAAAAGTATAGGAAAATTGATTAAGAGGTTTCTTGGTGGAGCTAATTTCTCCATTTTAAGGGGGTTTTATGGAGGGTCATCAAATTTTGGACAAGGCTCTCATTGTAAATGAATGTATAGATTATAGATTTCATATTTCCATTAAGGTGGGCTGGGTGTCATCTGCTAATTGGACTTACGACCATGTCCAATGAGGATTCTTGAATTATCTTCAGAGACAGATGGGCTTTGTCTTAAAGTGGAGGTCATGGACCACAACTTGTTTGCCATCCCAAATTTTTAGTGCTGATCTATGGAACTCCAAAAGCTTACTTTGAAGGAAAAATGGATCTAAGATAATGGGATCCTTTTTTCCCCTTTTTGTGGAGGCCCCTTAATAGATTAGTAAAAATGACAGAATAAGAGGATGGGGGGCTTTATAGATTGCAAGTGATTCAATTATTTTTCTCAAAAGAAGAGCATAAAACTTGCTTTTTTTAAGATATTTGTTGATCTATTTTGAGGTAGCATTTAGCTAAAGATAAATATGAGGAAGAGCAAAGTAATTCCAATTAAGAAATTAATGGTAAATAATAATGATTGGGCAGTATTTCTTGGCTAAAACACATGGGGCTGGGAAAAGAGTTATTTGTCAATTATTGAAAGATTATAAATCCGATGAGTTGTGAATCGATCCCGATTATTGAAAATTTTCACAAACTGAGAGGCTGGAAAAAGAGTTATTTGTCAAAGGATGGTAAAGTCACTCGCATTTCAAAGCACTATCAAATCCCCCCTTCATACTTATCTTTGTTTTCAAGTCCAACATTTGTGATTAATTCCCTAGAGAAGGCTAGAATGGATTTCCTACGGGATAAGATTAATGATAAAAAGAAATTCCATCTAGTTGCTTGGTTTGCAAATCTAAAGGAATGGGTGGAGTGGGTATAAAGCTTCTTCATGAAATGAACAAAGCAATAGTGGGAAAATGGCTATGGCGATTTGATACCCAAAGGAATGGGTTATATATGAAGGAAAATCATTTGTTGCAAATATGGAATTGATGATCATGACTAGTTAATTGATGTGATTAGAGTTCATATGGGTCAAACATATGGAACGGCGCAATGAAGATTATGGAAGAATTTTATCAACTCGTTACTTTTGAAGTGAGAAATGGAGATCAACACCTCTGCGCCTATCTCACACTCAGGGATTCAATTAGGCTTTAAATAAGGTAGCAACAGTTAAAGAATGTTATGAAATTGTAGTCGGGGAGGTTGTGTGGGGTCCATTATTGAGAAGAATTATTAAGACGGAGAAGAGGAGGACCTAATCAACTTGCTAAGTGACATTTTTAGGGCTTAAATCGAGCCAAATATTGAAGGTCATATGTGGTAGTTGGAATGTATTAGGGATGGCAACGGGGCAAGTTTCGGGAGGGTTTTGTAAATTTTAGATCTGCCTCCCTAAACCTTCCGATCTGTGCCTGTTCCAAAACCTGTAACGGGTTGAATTTTTAGAATCCAACCCACCCCCACTCCCCGTTGGATTTAGAACCTGCATCTAATTTCCTATTACTTCATGTTAAGAAATAAACAAGTAAAAGAACACAAACAAACAACAAAAAGTATATATATATATATATATATATATCAAATTTCCACTTCTCCCTTTCACATAGTGACACCTAAACTCTCTCATTTAGATATCTTAGCATAATAAGAGTCTTAAGAGTAGGAGTCTTCAAGACTCTTCACAGAGTAGAAGTCTTCCTAAGATAAGTCTCCTCTCTCTCTCTCTCTCTCTTAACTTTTAGGTGACGAGGCAGGGGAGTGCATTGCTTGCATTCGTGTTTGCAGTCAACCGGTTTCTAGCTGCTGCCGTCTTCTTTCTACCGGTCAAAGACTTCTTTCCACAGGTATGTTATGTTTTGTCGTTTTTTGCTCTGTTATTTTTTTTTTCGTTTTTTAACAGATTCTTAACACTGTTATTTTTTTTTTCATTTTTTATCTGTTATTTTTTGCTCTTTTAGGTGACGAAGCAGGGGAGGGCACTGCTTCAGTCGTGTTTGCAGTCGTCGGGTTTCTAGCAACTGCCATCTTCTTTCTACCAAGACTTCTTTGGAGTTCTCCGATGCCATCTTCTTTCCACATGTATGGTCTATCATTTTTTTTTCGTTTTTTCTCTGTTATTATTTTCGTTTTTTACTCTGTTATGCTTCAGTCGTTTTTTACTCTGTTCTTTCTTAAAAAGAAACATACTAGCTAAACTTTATTTTTAACTGTGAGAACAGTTACGTTAACTGAGCTCAAAAGAGTACAAATATACAAAGCTGTGAACACGTTAACTGAGCTGGAAAGGGTGCTCACACCCCTATTGACTCTGTGGTTTTCGTTCGTTAAGGCTTAGTTTGGAAGCAGTGCAAATGCAAATATGTAGAGTGCAAAACCTTATATTTTGTATTATTTTGTATGTATTTACGCTGTACATATTTGCATTTGTACTGCTCCGAAACTGAGCCTAAATGGTTTTTTATTCTGATTGCCTATGGTTTTCGTTCTTTAAATGCTTTCTTAAAAAGAAACATCATCAGGAGACTTGCTGGTTGACTCTGCCATCCTCTGTAATTTTTTTTTTTTCGTTTGTTTAAGTCGGGTTTTACTCTACTGTGTTCGCTCAATCGAGCAAACACACTAGACATTATTCGGGTGAAGATGATGATGGTTAACCATCGGGTATGGGGCATGCGCGACCCGGTCCATTTAGTTAACCGTATTTAAACATCGGTGTGGATCATGGATCATATGCAGGACACGTCTGCCCGTCCATTTAATTAACAAAATTTATAGCTACCTCTTATTAAATAACAACATTTGACAGTATTTTTTTTATTAATTATGGTATTGTTTAATAACAATATTTATTATCATGGTGTTTTTTATTAATTTCGGTATTAAATTATTGTTAATTAATTATAGTGTTTTTTATTAATTACAGTATTTATTATTAATAATGTTATTTAATTACGGTATTGAATTACCGTTAATTAATTATAGTGTTTTTATTAATTAAAGTATTTATTATTAATAATAAATACGGTATTCATTATTTAATTTCGGTATTTTTTTTATTAATTATGGTATTGTTTAATAACAATATTTATTATCATGGTGTTTTTTATTAATTTCGGTATTAAATTATTGTTAATTAATTATAGTGTTTTTTATTAATTACAGTATTTATTATTAATAATAAATACGGTATTCATTATTTAATTTCGGTATTTATTTTATTTAATTACGGTATTAAATTACTGCTAATTAATTACAGTGTTTTTTATTAATTTCAGTATTTATTATTAATAATAAATACAATATTAAATTACTGCTAAATTTTACTGCTATTTAATTAAATACCGAAGTTACTGTTAAATAAATAACAGTAATTTCGGTATTTATTTAAAAAATTGTAAAATTTAGCAGTAATACTATTATTTAATTTCGGTATTTTTTATTAATTAACAATATTTATTATTAATTCTGGTAATTAATTAATTATTTAAACTAACAGCATTAAATTATTTTATTTAATTACGGTATTAAATTACTATTAATTAATTACAGTATTCATCATTAATAATAAATACGGTATTAAATTACTGGTAAATTTTACTTCTATTTAATTAAATACCGAAATTGCTGTTAATTAAATAACAGTGATTTCGGTATTCATTTAAATAGTAGTTAAATTTAGCAGTAATACTATTATTTAATTTTGGTATTTTATTAATTAACAATATTTATTATTAATTCTGGTATTTAATTAATTATTTCAACTAAAAGTATTTATTTAATTGTTTAACAGTATTCATTAACATTATTTAAATATGGTATTTATTTAATTTTATTACGGTATTAAAATACTATTATTCAATTGCAGTATAGTTTTATTAATTTAATTATGTTATTTTTTATTAAATTGCTAACGGTATTGATTTTATTTTGGTATTAAATTACTGTTATTTAATTACAGTATTTATTTCAACTAACGGTATTTATTTAAATAGCCATAAAATTTAACAGTATTTTTTTTTAATTATGGTATTTATTAATTACAATATTTATTAATTATGGTATTTATTAATTACAGTATTTATTAAAATAAAGTTTTTCTTTTGGCTAACAATATTTATTTAAATACAGTATTAAATTACTGTTATTTAAATACAGTATTTTTCAATCATTTCAGTATTTATTTCAACTAACGGTGTTTATTTAATTCATTAACAGAATTTGTTAGCATTATTTTAAATACGGTATATATTTAATTTAATTATGGTATTTATTTAAATATTAGTAAAATTTAGTAGTACTTATTTATTTATGGTATTTTTATTAATTAACTATATTTACTATTAATAAATATTTTATTATTTGTTATTTAATATTTTATTATTTATTACTATGTATAAATCTATTTTTGTTTTGTTATAGGAGTCTAAAGTAATGTATGGTGATCACATGGCTAAGAGTATACAATTGTATTA